TTTCCCTTTGTGTGCTGTGACTCGTTCTATGTCAATGACTAATGATCATAATGTAACTCCTGATGTAGATGATTCACTTTCGTAAGAAGGACTTTTTGCTAACCCGATTGCTTCCCAAGACATTTCTTCCGCAGTTAATGCTGTGACCGGGAGAGTTGCTTTAATAGCTGCGCAAGAGCAAGACGATTCAGTGTTGTTTCACGATAGTTAATTTCAGTGTTAGTTATTTTATATGTATATGCAGTGTTAACGTAATCCAGTGCTTTATTTTTATTCTATATGCTTAAGCAGTTCTTTTGATGTTTCCATGTTTTAGTATCAATTGTGTCTTAAAAGTTTCGATAGTGAATCAATTTGTTGTGACAGCCTACGAGGCTCTTTATTGTGTTAGTATTTAATTTAATTAAATTCTTAAAGGTTTACTTCACTTTTTTGGTTTGGTTTCGCCTAGAACCTGGATATTAAAGTAAATTAAGAGACGGCGTAACTATATATATATATATATATATATATATATATATATATATATATATATATATATATATATATATATATATATATATATATATACTGATAACCACAAGGAAAGAAGAAAACACGAAGTTCCCAAGCGCTTTCGTGTAATCCACATCTTCAGGGTTGAGTACAGACTAAGGAGAAGTACAAGACAAGGTGTATATATACAGAGGAGGGTGAGGAGGGTCATCGAACTCATCAAACTATGTATTAAGGATTGTAAATTTGAATTCAATGGAGAATATTTTGCTCAAAAATTTGGTATGGCAATGGGTAATCCACTCTCACCTGTATTAAGCAACCTATATATGGAATTCTTTGAAAAGAAACTAATATTTTACCACCTTCAGCAGTCTCGTTTAAATATGTAGATGATGTATTATGTCTCTGGCCACGTAATGAGGACCTACAAGCTTTCCTGCCACAACTTAATAACTTAGCCCCCTCGATCAAATTCACTGTAGAATTAGAGCATGACTGTAAATTGCCATTCCTAGACTGTCTGATACACAGAATAGATAACACCTTTAAGTTCAGTATTTATAGAAAACCGACTAATGTATGTTCATACATTCATTATTATTCTGCCCACCATAATAGTCAAACAGTCAGTATTTTCAACAATGTTTTTACGTGCTTTGAGAATTTGCAGCCTGGAATTCATTGATGAGGAATATAAATATATCTATAATGTTGGCTCAAACCTTAAATACCCTAGATCTTTCATAGACAAATGCCTGAACATTACTAAGAAATCTTTTTATAGAACTGATCCCAAGCCCACCCATGACCATAAGAATCTCTTAGTATTACCATTTCAAAAAAATTTATCTCAAATTCCTTTACAACTAAAAACCTGGAACATCAATGTGGCATTTAAAAACTCATGCACTGTTAAACATATGTTAATCAAGAACTCCCCCAACAACACAATTGGTTGCATTTATAAAGTTCCTTGCAAGAAATGTAATATGTTTTACTTAGGCCAGACAGGTAAAGATCTTGTAACTAGACTTAAACAACATAAATATAGTGTTAGGACAGGCCAGGAATCTGAGGGATAACAAGCATTGCATTGACTGGGATAATGCCTCCTCAATATTACCTTGTAATTCAATTGACAGTAGGAACATTATAGAATCTAGTCTCATTAAACATACCGAAGTAGTCAACATGAATTTGAGTAATGGCATGTACAAACTGGACAATTTTGTAATTAAGAAGATTTGTAACCAGGTAAGAAGGTTGGGTCACCTTCCCCTCTGACCTGACTACCGACCGTTGCTTTTTAAAGATTAGTAGGGTCATTACCTAATACCTGACCATTGTGGACCTGATCTCACCCTCCTCTGTATATAAACACCTTGTTTTGTACTTCTCCTTAGTCTGTACTCACCCCTGAAGATGTGAATTACGCTAAAGCGCTTGGGAACTTCGTGTTTTCTTCTTTCCTTGTGGTTAATAGAGATGATATATGGTTATATATATATATATATATATATATATATATATATATATATATATATATATATATATATATATATATATATATATATACATACATATATAAACAGCTAAACCCCGACTTACGACGGGGTTAGGGACCCAAATCCAGGTCGTAAGTCCGAATGGTCGTAAGTTCGACATAGATAAAAAAATCAATTTTTTTTTTAAATAAAAAATCTACAATGAAATACAGTACAGTAAAAGTAATAAATAATGAGGAATGGATGCAGTGTGACTGAGCACTTACCTTTAATGTAGTCAACTGAATGCACATGGGGCCCCCATAATTTTCTAATTATACATGGAGACTACATTAAATGGAAACGTTTTGTATAGAAAATGCGTGCGTCATTTGAAAAAAAATGGTCACAACTGCAGCGGTCGTAAGTCCCGACGGTCGTAAGTCCAAGCAGTCGTAAGTCGGGGACTACCTGTGTGTGTGTGTGTGTGTGTGTGTGTGTGTGTGTATATATATATATATATATATATATATATATATATATATATATATATATATATATATATATATATATATATATATATATATATATATATATATATATATATATATATATATATACATACAGTAATATTGTACCTCGGTTTATGCGGTTCTCGTTTATGCGTTTCTACATTTACGCGGTACCCCGCCAGAACTGGAATGCCCGATTTACGCGGTGCATCTACTCATATACGCGGGAAGCGGCGCGGGCAGGGTGCGCACAAGGTCGCCCAGTCATCAAAACATTACCGAGTTCTTCACCCGCCACCCACCACAGCCGGCCCAAGTCAGTGATAGTGAGGATATGGACTTATATGGACTTTGAGGGGGTTTGACAAAGAGGCCCTGCAAGCCTCTGTGGTGGATAGTGATACAATTGATACAAGTGATACAGGTGAGGGCCAATAATCTGCCCTCTGCCTCGGAACCAAACCCCCATCCCCGTGTGCCCAGCCATCTTTTCTACTAACCTAAGTGTTAAAAAACCTAATATTATTGATATTTCTCTTAAATATTAATTGTGTGTGCATACCATCATAAAATGAAGATGTTATTTTTACTACAACGTAGGTATTGTGTCTGAAAAAGTGTAGTTTGGGAGTCGGCCCGGTCTCTATTTCAATTAATCCCATATGTTCTGTTATTCCATTTACGCGTTTCTCGTTTTACACGCTACTCCGCGGGTTCAATTGACCGTGTAAATCGCATGGAAGAGTAATGTTGTATAAAGGCTTCGTAATGAAAGCAAGGCATACACCAGTTGTATAACCAAAAAATTACTGCCAGCAAGGCAGGTAGGCCCCCTCCCATGTGCCGATGGGTGTTTCACGAAAGTTGCCTTTTTCTCTTATTTTTAAAAAATGTCACTACTCTGATGGCCTCATATACAGTATATGCACACTCACACACACACACTCACTGTCTTGTCAGCTTTCTTGATTACATATACCGCCATCTCGAGAAACGAAAAACGTCTGTAGCTGTCGCCTTCATTGATTTCACTAAAGCGTTCGACCTAGTCAACCACAATATAATCATCAACAAAGCTATTGACCTCGGGCTTCGGAGAAGTCTTATACCATGGCTTACAGACTTCCTCAGTGACCGACGCCAAGCTGTACGCTTCCGAGGGGCTGTCTCCACCTTTCAGTCACTCACCTGTGCGCCCCCAAGGCACCAAGATGGGACCACTCTGCTCCTTATGCTCATCAATGATGCCCTAAGAGAAACCTCCCTGCTCGCTGGAAATATGTCGACGACTCCACCATTGGGACTGAAGGCCAACAATTCTTGCTCCCAACTATACCGCCTTCAGGATTTATTGAACAGTCTCCAAAACTGGGCCACCAACAACCATGTCACCATCAACCATACCAAGACCATGGTTATGCACATCAACTCCTCCGACATTGTCCCACCTCCTTCCATTACTCTAGGTCCTAACACACTCCAGGTTGTAGATTCCACGAAGCTCCTCGGCGTCACCATAGACAACAACTAAATTGAAACCACACGTCAGTGAAGTTGTCAAATCCCCTCCAGTTTCCGTCTCCACCTCCTCTGCCGACTCAAGTCCCTCGGAGTTCCTGCACCCGAGCTCCTCAGTGTTTACACAACATTCATACTTCCCAAGCTCACCTATGCCTCCCCCACCTGGTCTTCCTCCCCTAAATGCCACACAACGTAAACACCTAGAAAAAGTGCAAAAGAGGGCATGCAAGATTATTCTCTCCCCTTCCTACTCCACATATCAAGAAGCGCTCAACACACTGACCCTTTCGACTCTCACTGACCATCACCACGACCTCATCTGCAAATTTGGTAAGAAGCTTCTACACCATCCCCGACACCGGCTCCTACTACCACCTGAGATCCCTTGTCCGAGAATTGCTGTTCGACACCACAACCGCATCCAGCCCATACGTGCACGAACTGATCGCTATAAGAACAGCCCAGTCCCAACCATTGTAAAAATTATCAATAACTTGTAATAAATCAGTGTATTCACTCCTAGTAAACACTGCTCCTTACACTGTCACTATGTTGAAATGAACTGTAGTTTGAGCTTTTCCCCATCTAGTTATTATATGTCTTATTTGTGTCACTTATGTTACTTGTATATTATTTGTAATTCGTAACCCATTCCCCAAATATGTAACTGTATATTTTCAGCCTTCTGGCTGCCAAGCTCTTTCAATAAACCGTTAATTATTATTATTATTATTATTATTATTACTAATAAAAGCATGAAGCATACAGTATAAAATATTAAGAGCCTAAATTGACTCAATATACTGAACACACAACAAAAAGGCACACTAAATAAAATTAATGATACTGGATATTAAATATTTTTTCTGTCAACCAGATACTGTAGTCTAATCAGTGCACCCCTAGTTATTTTTCATGAACTTGTATTATTTAATACGATATATTGTCACCCATATTTCATTGCTGATATTTACCTCTCTTACAGTGCACAACCAGCCTGCTGTTGACCATATTGCTGAATCATGGCGGTTTTTGAGGGAAGCAGTGGTTGCAATTCAGGAGTCAAGAAAGTTAAGAGACAACCTCACCCAGGAGGATCTCTATCGTTATGTTGACAACCTTATCACACAACGGCCTCCAGCACTGTTGTATGCTGACCTTAGAGGTAGGTTATTATCTTGAAACAGGAAGCATCAGTGATGTACAGTACTGTACTTTTATAGTAGAGTACCTTTACTGTTAGTCAAGCTCAGGGCTTTAAAGCAAATGCATGGTCATGTCTTTATAAACTTTAGTATACCTCTCATTTTACTCTTTATGTTAGTTATTGCCTTCACTCTTACTCCCTATACAGTTAAGGTGATTTCTTAGATATCCCAACCAGTACCGGTCATATTCTCCGTGCTGCCAATTATGAACTCCATAGTCATTTCACTTCTACTGCATCACCTCATTTGGCACTCCAACTACACTCCCTAATTAGTCTGTTTTTGTCACTACAGGCACCACCATTTTCCATACTTATGTGGTTTAGCCATTTGATGCTTGATACTCTTCCTATCACCAACCCCATTTTACATAGTGGGAACTGGGCATTAGTATTTGTAGAATTTCAATACCCGCTTAGCTGGTAAGGCAGGGTTTCAACTCCCTGAAACAATTAACTATTACCCACCAACCTATGGACAGGTGACCATCAGGGTTACTGTCATGACACATGCTATTTATTTGTCTATGTCCATCTAGCTAGTTATTAATGTTTTTGTCATTTTTACATGTGAGACAAAATAGATAATTGTATTAAACCTTTTATTTTCTAATTCCTGTGATCCAAAAATTTGCATTTTGTGGAAAATGGGACAAGTATTTTTAAAGTTTATTTTCTAGCTGAAAAATTTTGCATGCTCAAGCTGGAGTAAAAAATATAGTATTAATTCCAAATTCCACTAGACAGTAAACATCTTCAGTTTCTGGTAAGATTGTAACATAATGTTAGACTTATGATAATGACAGTTGTCATCAGTAGCGAAGTCTAATAATTTTTTGATTTGGTGTAGGTAATTATACTGTGCTCTACATTTACTCATTATTTTTCAGATCTGACAGAGAAGCACATTAAATCCCGGTTGAATCAATTTTTAAGTGGTACTAGTGATCGCTTGACGTTCTTAAGGCAACTAAATGACTGCTGGACTCACCACTGTCACCAGATGAAGATGGTTTGTAACATCTTCCTGGCTCTTGACAGAGGTTATGTACTACAGAATGCTCAGGTTTCTTCCATATGGTAAGGAATTAATCAGCACCTGTTATGCATTGAATAGTGTCCTTAACTTTTTGTGCATTGTAAAACTGTGCTTATCCAAAATGCTGTGTAACTCAAGTCCATCAAGCTCACTTAACCTGATTGTTCCTCCACCACATCTCAGATCTTTGCCCATTTCCTCACTTTGATTTTTGAGTGGCAATCTTTAGACCCCTAAATAATATTGTATTATATGCAATATTACAATATATTATACTATAATGATTGTTTTATCCATCAAAACATATTTTTATGCTCCATTTCATGTCAGGTCTGGCAGTATTTATTGTCAGACAATTACAAGGGAAACATTTGGAGAAGGAGAGAAAGCTGCACTGTATTTTGTATTTGTAGACTTAGAGAAGGTATATATCTTGTGGAGTAGTGCAGTGGACAATGAGGAAGTTAGGGTTCAAGCATTTATGGCATTGTACTGTATGGGGGCTCAAGAACTACAGGTACTATTCAGCAAGGTGGTACAGACACTATTGTGAGCTTTTCAGTATTAGTCTGCCTTAGGAATTGTTGTATGCTGATGACATAGTGTTGATAGCCGATAGTATTGAAGAGGTAGTTGATAAATTTAAGAAATGGAGGGATTGAATGGAGTTCAATGGCATGAGAGTGAATGTGGCAAAAGTAATGACAAGTGGTGTGGGTGAAAGACCCTCCGTGAAAGTTGAAATAGTCTTGTGAAGTCCACAAGAAAAGTGTTGGCAGCAACTCAGTAATGTATAGCGAGTGTAGAAGATGGGTACACAGGAGATGCAGTGGTGTAAATGGCAGACTTCAGGATGTTGTTGACCTTAAGTGTGTTGTGTGTACTGGTAATGATGTTGTCTTTCCATCTTAGCAGGGCTTGAAAAAACCTGACATTAGGGATACATCCCTGGAATGTGATAAAGATTATACAGTACTAACTGGATGACATGAGTAGTGCTGTAAGTGGTGCTGAAGTTAGCTCAGTTGCAAGAGTCAGAAGTAGCTGGAAGAGGTTTAGAGATGGCAAGAGGACTTCCTATTTATGTGAAAGGAAATATGTAATCAACCTGTGTAATGTGTGACAATGAAACATAGGTAGTGAAAAAGGATGGCATGCGTAGACATGAGCAAGCGGAAATGAAAATGGTGTGATTTATGTTTAATATAACAGTTAAAGATAAGATACTGATCAGAGCTAAGAGGGTGACTGGGTATTGAGAGTAATGGTGAGGTTGTGCTTAAAGGTAGGCTGATATAGTTTGGGCATATAGAGAGAATAGGGGAGACCAGCTGGGTCAAGAGATGCGTAAGTTTGATTGTGTAGGGAAGGAGAGCTAGAGGTAGGCAAAGAATTACATGGGAAGATGTTGTAAAAAAAATTGCTTCAAAGATAAGAACCTAATGAGAGAGGCTGCAAAAGTCCATGCAACATGGATAGCTGTCATCAGTTAATCACAGCTAACCCACGCAAAGGTGGAAAATGGCCATGGAATAATAATGATGAGTTCTTGAGAAAATTTAAATTTTTAAGGGAAGACCATTCTGCCATCGTATCAAACATGCATACTATATTGTTTGGGTGTTATGTTTGCTGATTTTCTTCGACAATTTATCAGGGCATCCATGTCAGTAGACACATTTCTAATATTTATTATTACCTGAGGTGTTGCACGGGTTTGTCTTAAAGTTGCAACTCATAACCTATGTCTGTGACTACACTCAGCAACACTATCCACTACACAATCTACTGTACAATACATTTACTACACTATTTATGCTACATCTACTACATCCACTTTAATATGCAAAATATAACCATACCAAAATTCAGATTTCATATGTTATAAACTATGGGTATGAGAGGGGCTTCACCTTTGGGTATTGGGGACTGACCACTGGGGCCAACTCCCCAAACAAACAAATACACTGTCCTTTATATGTACAGTATAAATGTAGTAAGTAGACAATGCAATTATCACATCCATATTAGATTTTGGGCAAAAATTTCTTATTTGATTCTTTTAAGGTAGTATTTTACTCTCCCATCATTTACATGTAAATGTTTTATATACAGTAAACCCTTCCCATTCGCGGGTTTACGATTCGCGGTAAGCAGCTGGTGGCTCGGGTGACTAGCATGCGAGCCTTCTTCCTCAGCACAACGAGTTACCCCACGCGTCCACGGCAGCACTACTCGCTCTGTTTGCTCTCGCCCAGTACCCACAACCAAGCATCTCGTGTCATACTCTCAAAACTTTTGTGTTTCTTTGTGAAAATGGCCCCGAAAAGACTGCCTAGTGTCAGTGCAAGTAATGCTAGTGGAGTGAAACATAAAAAGCAAAAGTCATTGATGACTCTGGCAAAGAAAGTTGAAATATAGACAAGTTAAAGGAGAGGATGTGTACTGCCGTGGTTGGTCAGTTGTTTGGTGTGAACGCATCCACAGTGCGGTACAAAAGAAAGAATGAACAAGCAATTCGTGATTCTGTTCAAGCATGTGCTCCTGCAAGTGCTAAAGTGAAAACTGAGAAAGCTCCAGACTTCCACATGCGAATGTAAGTACAGTATTGTGCCTTAAGTTTCTCCACAGTATAGGTATACCTGTATATTAGTGCGCTAAGGTACTATATAAGTGTCTATTTGCGGTTTTGCCAATTCGCGCCATTTCTTGGAACCTTATCCCTCGCGAATGGCAAGGGTTTACTGTACAGTACTGCACTGTACTTAAAAATTGGTAAGTTTGTAGGTTCGTTGATCACTTACATAACTATTCAGTGTGTTTAAACAGTGTAATCTTCTCCACAGGGACATGGGATTGGAATTGTTCAGGCAACATATTTTAGAGGAAGTAGTTGTAGAAAATCGATGTGTCGATGGTTTACTAATGATGATAGAAAAAGAGCGGTCTGGAGAGACTATTGACAGATCCCTCGTCAAATCCCTTCTTAGAATGCTCTCTTCACTACAAGTGTATCATAAAGTTTTTGAAAACAAGTAAGTCCTTTTGAGCTGTACATCAGACTTCAAGAGTTTGCTGTATGTTCCTTGCACTATTATTTCTGCTGTTGATTAGGAAGGAAAAAAGTGTTAAGTAGGAGAAACTTTATTCCATTGAAGCAACAGCTTTAAATTTAATCATGATTGGAATATTTAATCACATATTGTTTTAATGTTACCTTGTAATCTTCAGTAAAAGTGTGTGCTTTGTTGATGGCAATATTATTTAGGTATGGATGTGCAGCTAAGCACTTCATGAAGGATTATGGAAGCATGTTTATTATTGAAACATTGTGCTGTGGCCAAAAAAGATGTAACTTTGCTTAACTTCTTTCTAATTTATTCTTGCTTTGGAAATGAAAGCAAGTTTGTTTTACATATTTTCATAAAAGTAATGTTTTTTTTTCTGCTTTATGTAAATGGTTTTCCCAATGGAATGTGTCTGCAGTACATGTATTTTACTGTAGAAATAAATTGATTCCCTGTCAGTTATGTATTTGAATCTGTAGGTTTTTGGTGGCAACAGAACAACTTTACCTCCGTGAGGGTCAACGACTCACACAAGACCGTGATGTCCCTCAGTATCTTCTACATGTTGACAAGAGACTCACTGAGGAGAATAACAGAGTCCTTCATTACTTAGATATGTCTACTAAGTAAGTTTAAATTCCTTTTTTTTTTTTATGTAGGGTTGTGTATACAGAATTGTCATACATTTCACAATATCTCATGCATGACACAAATTGCACAAGGTAGTAAATTAATACTTCTGTTATAGAAATGATTAAACCACAAAACTTTGTGCAGTGATAAAATAAAAAAAATAAAAGAATTCTGAGCACTAAACCCTACTGCTCCAAGATAGCAGTGGACCCATGGTGAGCAGCTCCTTCCTCTACCACCCCTGTCTAGGACCTCCAACAATACCTTCCCACTACTACCATGTATTACAGCAGATAAAATTAAATAATGAAACCAATTCTCAGAGATAAGAACCTGACGAGAGAAGCTCCAAAAATCCATGCAGGTCTGGAAACTGTCATCAGGTTTCATGGCTAACCCGTTTATGCATGGAAGTTGGCCTTACAACATTGATGATGATAATGAAACCAAATCTACCAAATAGTCTTACAATATCTCTTTCATTTGAATATATTTGGTTTGGTTGGCTCACATTGTCTTTCATCACAAGTCGGTTACACTTGCCGTGTTTACAGGACCACTTCACATTTACTGTATTTATGCCTGTCACAGTAAATTTGTAAGTTTTCACACTGCATTGTTCTGGCAGAGCAAATTCCTTTTCCAAGTCACAGAAATACTTTGTGATTTTTGGAAGGAAATTTTTCTGAATAACTCACTGCCCCTGAATTGAAGATGTCAGGGTAAACCTACTATAAGTTAATGAGGGTATTAGTAGATATACCAGGATACATTTTGATACAGAAAGATACAACAAGGAACATGGAGGTGGATCTAGGTACACCATGTTAAACAGGGTTGGATTAAGAGTTATGGGGCCCTTGCCATTAAAACTTCATTATCAAATCACATATGAGTGTTATTATATAATAGGTCTACCAACTTTACAAAGATTAATATAATATAAATACTCTGTGTAGTATACGAAACAAAACAGATATGCTTCAACCTTTCATATACAGTATCATGGTATATAAGAAAATAATTTTATTTTGTTTACGGTACTAATTTACTTGCTTTCCATTAGGAAAATAATATTACTGTAATTATATCACAAACGACTCTTTAACTTGATGTCCGTAAAACAGTAAATGATTTATACTAGATACAGGATACAGTACTTAGCAGACCAGAAAAGTTGCCCATACTCCAACCAGCTTAACAAACTACAGTATTATCTCTGTGTACAGCATGCCCTTAAAATTTGCGGCGGTTTGGGTCTCAAAATGGCCGTGAATTACCAGAACCGCAAGTATCATTTGCTGACCGGGGATACATTTTTACTCGTGAGCAAAGAAATGTATATTCCATTTATGTGTTTGCCCTTAGGACAATTAATTCTTTTACCTGTACTGCATATGTGTGTGTGTACTCGCACACACACATTAACACAAATAAATAATACAGTCTCTCCTTGACTTACGACGGGGTTCCGGACCGACGACCTGGTCGTAAGTCGAAAATGCGAAAATAATACATAGAAATTATAAAATGAAATACGGTACAGTAAAAGTAATCAATAATGAAAAATGAATAAAGTGTTACTGTGCACTTACCTTTAATGTAGTCAGCTGAATGCACACGGGACCTCAATAATTTTTTAATTAAACATGGAGACTACATTAATTGGATGAAGCAGAGGAGGAGACGGGGCTGGGTCATCAATTTTGCTTTCTTCAGACAGGCTAACATACTTGCTTGTTGAAGGTATTGGATCATCTTCAGGGAGTGAAGAGGCAGCAGTGGTGGGGCGTAAGGAGACAACAGTGGGGGACTTCTTGAAATATATGTCCAATTTAGACTGCACAGTTTGCCTTTTCTTTTCATTGTAAATCTCCCAGTAGTAAGCAAGTGCATCTTGGATCAGTCTGTCAACTTTTGCAAAACGCTCAACATTTTGATCCATTTCTTCAAACATTTGCATCCCCTTATTAATAGTAGCAAATGCCTCTGCCTTGTCCTTCAAAATTGTTGATATCGTCGAGTGAGAGAAGCCAAGGTTGCGTGAAATGGTTGCTACCGTTTTTCCATTTTCATATTGCATTATTATTTTCATTTCATCTCAAAAGTAATTGACTGTCTCCTTTTCTTATCAGCACCACGATAACTCTCACTTTTATGCTTGCCAGCCATTTTAAAGGGAATTAGAAACGAAAATTTTGTTAGTACACAGCGCGATCACTAACAACAACGACGGCCAAACACTAACTGAGCGGGCTACGGCGTGGATGCTGTACACCACGAGGCGGCCCGGCCCACGCTGTTGTATGGGACGGAAACGTTTCGGTACTTAAAAATACTGTACGTAATTTGAAAAATATTTTATACGACTACGGCGGTTGTATGTGCGGGTTGTTGTAAGTCGAGGAGTACCTATACAGGTAGTTCTGCTATAACGCGATAGTTGTGTTCTTGTAAAACATCGTGTTATAGAAATTCGTGTAATAGAAATAACAGGGCTTATGGAGAAAATAGGGTTAGGTGCAGATTACTCCAAATCGAAAAAAAATTTCGTAGTTAGCCTAACACAAAGGACAGCACAGTCTAAATAAATGTTACATTCATATCTAATAATGAAATCATACAGTAAATGTTACACTTTACCTTGAAAAAATATGAATATAACTTGATGGGGGAGAAGGTTGATGTTGAGGCTGAGGAGTCATGAAACATCAAGCTTTTCTTCAAGTGTTATAGCCTTTCTTTTACGATCACCACCGGAAATGCGATCACCAGAGTGCTTCCCAGAGATATTCTTCCTTTCCATAGTCACAAAATTGGAGAAACAGTAATCAGAATTCACTGAGGACACTTAAAAACTTCACACGTGTTTCAAACAAAGTGTGGAGTAAACAGAGCGCGCGGGTCTAAAACGCTATGTATTTTGTTTTTCTCTTATTTAAAATTTTACATTTTACATATACTGTACAGGTATACTGTATACATAAATATTACATAAATTATTTCTGCAATTCTTCACAAACAAAACACATAAATCAATTAACATGTGATGTCGAACGTGAACTGTAAACACTGCATAACCCCGCGCCAAGCCACAATGTACAGTACACTTTAAACGCTACTTATTTTGTTTTTCTCTCTTATTTAAAATTTTACAATTTACATATACTGTACAGGTATTTCTTCACAAACAAAACACATAAATCAATTGAACAAGTGATGTCGAACGTGAACTGTAAACATTGAGCCAAGCCACAACACTGTACAGTACACTTTAACACTTTAAACGCTACGTATTTAGTTTTTCTCTTTTATTTATATTTTTACAATTTACATATATATATATATATATATATATATATATATATATATATATATATATATATATATATATATATATATATATATATATATATATATATATATATATATACAGACCCTCGCTTAATCTAACACCTCGGTTAATTCTAATTTCGATTAACGAACTGCCTTCCATAAGGATCTTCAATTCGTTAATCTAAAAAAAAATTCGCTAATCTAACTTCATTTAACCACCAACATGTTTTCGCTTACTGACCGCAACCAGCTTTAGTATCAGTCCCAATACATTAATCGGTTCTAGGCTTAAATTCTTTACTATTTTGTAAATATCAAGAAGTTTATACTTATTCAATAATTTTAAAAGTTTAATGTTAACTTTTTAATCATTTTAACAATTATTGAACATAATTGAAGGTAAAGTGACTAGTTTAATGCGGGCATCCAGCTCAACACAGCAAACAGGCGTTAGTCTCTGTTTTCTACTGGAGGTAACATCTGCTTGAGACTCTCTAACTAAATGCTTTTTTTTCTGTGTTTCCAAGCAAATTATTGGTCATTTTGAAATATATTTTATATATTGACAATATATAATGCAGTGCAGCATTGATTTAAAGAAAATAATCTTAATTAAACCAGAGAGCTAAAATTTTATGGGTGAAGGCACCATGGGGTGACTCTCTTCCACCAATGCCTCTCTTCTTCCTTCTCCACCCCCATTCTAAATCCCATCATCATCATCATCATCCAGGAGCCTCTACATACACACCTCAAAGTAAGTGAACTTTTCTACCATTTTGTTGAATTTAGGAAATTTTCGGTGAGCTGGAACCATAATTCAAAAACCCATTGAAACAATGGTTTCGTTAATCTAACGTTTCAATTTAAATCGACCTTCTGGAACGGATTGAGTTCGTTAACCGAGTGTCAGTATATATATATATATATATACCTGTATAAGTAAATTGTAATTTACATATTATTCATATTATGCTAGAGCGCCCACAAAACATAAGAAACGTTTGAGTCCCCCAGTAGAGATGTCCGTTCTCTATCCACTTCAGGATGTCTTAGTCCTCCGTTTTCTTTTTGTGTACTCGCTCAGGGACTCAAGTTTTTCTGTATATGACGCAGGATGATAAGGGAATTTGAATTATTTATAAGAGATAAGTATTATGATCAGTAAATATACAGATATGCATTACTGACCACCTCCGAACACAAGGACGGCTAAAAATAGCCACAGGCGGTCACAGTCAAGGTCACTTTCCCTTTCTTGTCACTGGCAAATGGGGGTGGGGGGGATGATAATAGCAGCTGTGTTTATTACGGTATGTTAGACTGGTTTATAATACATTTTTATTATTTTAATATACCGGTAATCTTCATTTTAATCCAGCTTCCCAAACGTAAGTTTCAGTATAAAATAATTAGTGGTACTGTAGGACCTTGTGAGTGGTTTACTGTATACATAAATATTACATAAATTATTTCTGCAATTCTTCACAAACAAAACACATAAATCAATTGAATATGTGATGTCGAACGTGAACTGTAAACACTGTGTGTGATGTAAAGAGAGCGCGGGTGTAAAACGCTATGTAATTTGATTTTCTCTTTTATGTAAAATTTTACAATTTACTTATAATATATAGGTATACTGTATACATAAATA